CCCCCCCCCCACTGAAGGTCTGCACACAGTACTCGGTGTTTCGATACCTGATGTTGCATTTTTGCCTCGTGGTCACACGACAACATAACTCAAGGCTCTGGGAGGGTGCTCGAACTCTGGGTGATCCTTCGAGACGATGAAGCAAGGCCGAGAACCAACAACAACGCCCGCTTGGCGACAAAAGCCAGGGCAACCATGGCAGGAGCAGCAAAGTTCGTGTATCAACAAACAAACAAAAAAAACTTCAGCGTGACCGTCCTCCTGCTGCGTAACCCCGGCTGAAACATCAAAAACACATGCAGTGGTGGGCAGTAGCCTTGGCGTGGTTTCTCTACCAAATAAACATGTTGGATAAAGCATGAAATCGGGTGATTTGGGTTAGGATTACGGAAATAGGGTCTGCGTACCCCCTCCCTCTTCTATTTCCTCCAAATACTTAATTTCTCGCGAAGGCGCCCCTTCGTGGGTTTCCGATACTCCGCCATCCCGAATAGCGCGGTTCCCGATATACACATATCGCGGTAATGATTCCTTGGCACAACAGCCTAGCCTAGGACCTTCCCCCATTAGTTCAGGTATTTCGATACAACGCGGCGATCTTTGCCTGTCGCGGTACATCGGGACCACCACCACCATGTAGACTTTGGCGCGAGCCTAAGAACACACCCTCTTCCATCACCTAGTCTTCCCGCGGGAGGGGGGACACACCATCCAGCACGCCTGGCTCACCGTGACAAGTCCGGCTCGTCCTCCTCCTCCAACCCCGATCCCCCCGCACTCACGGCGCCCCCGGATGTCGGCTTGGTCTCCCTCGTCAGAGCTGCCGCGCCGGCTTCCGCCACAGCCTTGCAAAAAAAAAACAAAAAAAAAAAAAAAAGGCAAGCATGGGCAACAACACGAGAAAAATGAGGATGCTCGTTAGATCGGCAAGGTTGACGCATCATGTGTTTATCTGAAAATTGATTTGTAAGTCTGCCGCGTATTGCAAGGCAAGCGCCACAAGACGTCTGCGGCCACAAGTTTGGTCGCCACACAGCGTCAGGAAAGGATGTTGTCGTCGCAGAGGACGGTCGGCACTGTCGCATATTTCATTAATCAGCTGGTTAGCGCGGTCCATGCTAAAACACACGCGCACACAAACCTGTCGCCTCCCCTTCACGGGGTCCAGATCATGGCCGATTAGAGACATTTTCTGGTATTTCAGCTGTAGTAAGCTTCATATTTTTTCAATGGTCGGCCGACCATTTTGCGCAGTCGGTGCTAATGAAAAAAACGCACACGCACCCGCGCTGTGGCATACGTTTTTGATTCTCACCCGGAAAGCGTCGTCCATGCTGAAAAACAGCACACACACACAAACACAAACACAAACACACACAGGTATTTTCATTGGTCAGCTAAATAGCTAGCGCGTTCGATGCTAACATCAAGCACACATACACACTCACGTATTTCCATTGGTAGCGCGGACCATGCTAACAAAAAAAAAAAGACACACACATACACCTGCGTCTGTTGCTGCAGCGTCTTGGACGATGACGACGATGCCGCTGCGAGGGAAGCGAGGGAGGCAGGGGTGGCGAGCAGGGCGGCCGGGTGGCTGCTGGCCAGCCTCAGCAGCTCGTGCAGGTGTCGCTTCACGAATCCCAGGCGGTGGGCTTCGTCTGAGGTCCTCGTGTGGAGCCGCATCGACCTCGCCCTGGCAAGAAGCAGAAATGGAAGGAGGAGGGAGCGCCACCAAGGATGTTCTTGAATGTCAAAGAGTTCAGAACGGTTTTTCTGGGCCACTCCCAGCAATGCGATTTCATAAGATACCCCATGCATACCATTCAGCAACAAGGAAATATTTCATCGACCATCTACGGAAGGAAGATTGTCGGGTACTTGGAAATACTCAGCTGGTGCTGCTTTTCCCACCATTATCTTTTTATCGTAACGGCACTGTCCTAAAACAAACGAAACAATGTCATCACCATCCTGCGGTCAGTTACAAAGTCTTAGCTGGTCCACCTGCCCATCCGTTCGACGCAACCCCCTCCACACAATACCAACACCACCATCCTCAGCACAACGACCACAAAACATCATCTCGCCTTGTCGGCGACACGGGCGACGTCGACGGGAACATGTGAATCCCCGCTGCGGCAGCTGCCGCCGCCGACGTTCCGGTGCCGAAGCCTCGTGGGGAAGAGGGTGCCGCCAGAGAGTTGGGGGAGGTGGCCCCTCTGCCGTGCGCGACCCTTCCCGGAGAGATGGCGGGTCCTCCAGCTCTTTTGCACGGGGCGGGGGGCGGGGGGGGGGGG